GATTCAAATAATCACATGAAAAGCTATATGAAGAGCTGCTAGCCCAAAAACACAACAACAAAGTCAAGTTACACAAGGACGACATAAATGTAAATTGTTATGTCTATATAACCACCTTTAAATAGTCTCTAATCTAAACCATAAGACTAAAACCATAGCCTGAAATCTATTTTTAGAGAGAAACAAACAAGTTCTCCATTGTTTAGAAGCAAATCAGACTGACGGCCCCCTTCTCTGAGCAGGAGGTCTGGGAGGCCATCAAGAGTATGAATACCTCTTCTGCGCCGGGCCCGGACGGCCTCCCTGTCATTTTCTTCCAGACCTTCTGGAATGTGATTAAAACCGAGGTCATGGCCATCTTCGATCAATTCTTTGTGGGTTTTGTGGGTTCTATTGACCTAGGTCGCCTCAACTACGGGATCATCTCTCTCATCCCCAAGGTCCCTGGGGCGTCTGACATCCGGCAGTTCCGCCCGATCACGGTCATTAATGTGATCTTCCGGATCTTGGCCAAGGGGTACGCCAATAGGGTGACCCTGCTTGCGGATCGGATAACCCATCCTAACCAGTCGGCCTTCATTAAGGGCCGGTACATCCTGGATGGTGTCCTTGTACTTCATGAGGTTCTTCATGAGGTCCGGGTTAAATGCCTTAAGGCGGTTTTTCTGAAGATCAATTTTCACAAAGCCTACGACACTGTTAGCTGGACCTTCCTCAGGGAAGTCCTTCTTCGGAAGGGCTTCGATGACCGATGGATCACTAGAGTCATGCAAATGGTCTCTTGCGATCGCACGGCGGTCAACATCAACTGCGAGATTGGTCCTTTCTTCCCTACCCTTTGTGGGGTGCGCCAAGGCGACCCCTTCTCCCCGTTCCTCTTCAATATGGTAGTGGACGCTCTTGCCTCCATTCTTGATAAGGCAAAAGCCGCTGGCCACATTCGTGGGATTACCCCCCACCTTTCTGGGGGCACGGGGATCTCCATCCTTCAGTATGCTGACGACACGATCATCATGGTCGAAGGCTCGGAGGCGGACATTGCCAACCTTAAGTTCCTCCTCTGCTTCCAACGGATGTCGGGCCTCAAGATCAACTTCGACAAGAGTGATGTTATGGTGATGGGATATTCCCCCTCTGAGTCTGTGGCCATCGCCAACAGACTTAATTGCCGCTTGGGTTCTTTCCCCACTTCCTACCTAGGGACGCCCATTAGCGATTCGCGACTCTCCGTCGTGGACCTGCGGCCCTCCGTGGCTAAGCTCCAATCCCGATGCGAGCCCTGGCAGGGGAGGTGGCTTTCTAAGGCGGCCCGGACTATTCTCATCAACTCATCCCTTTCCAGCCTTCTCTTGTTTCTTATGAGTTTCTACAGCCTCCATGAGTCCCTCCATAAGGAGATCGCCACAATTCAGTCCCGATTCTACTGGGCTGGCGAACATGGCAAGCAGAAGTATCACATGGTCAGCTGGCCTGATATTTGCAAGCCCAGGGAGCAGGGTGGCCTGGGCATCATGTGCTCTAAAAGGATGAATATTGCCCTTCTCTCCCGTTGGCTTTGGCGCATCGCGTAGGGTCAAGGTGGCCTATGGCTCGACGTTATCCGGAATAAATACCTGCGGGGTCAACCCCTTGCCTTCTGCCAGAAATCGGGCGGTTCTCGGTTCTGGCAGTCTATTGTCCAGCTTCTCCCAGTGCTTCGCATTGGAACCTCCATTTCGGTGGGGTCCGGCCTCTCGACGCTCTTCTGGTTTGATCGCTGGGCCGGAGACTCTCCCTTTGCGGCCCGCTTCCCCACCCTCTTCTCTATCTCCGTCGACCCCATGATTTCTGTCGATAGGGCCCTTCTTGACTTAGGGCGCCTTGCTTTTCGTCGGCCCTTTGGGCCGGCGGAATCCGCCGCCTGGCGTGAGTTGCTTGATTGCGTTGCTCTGCATGAGCCGTTGGTGGATGGGAGTCAGGACCTTGTGCGCTGGCGTCTGGAGCCGTCAGGCCAGTTCTCTATCAAGTTGTTGTACATGGCCATTGCCCCCTCCTCCGCCCCCCTCCCCCTATCGATGGTGTGGTCCGTCCGCGTTCCCCTGAAGATTCGCATCTTCATGTGGCAGTGGATTCGCGGTTGGGTCCCGTCTGGAGTGGAGGTCTGCAAGCGCAATGGCCCGGGCACTGGTATATGCCCGCTCTGTGGTGTCCCTGAAGACTCGAACCACATTTTCTTCGCTTACATCTCCACCCAGTTCCTTTGGAGCTGCTTTCGCGAGGTTGTCGGTGGAAGTTGGTGCCACACCAATTTCCCGGACTTATTTGCTGAACTCCAGATGTCCCCCGCGTCCTCTCGCCACATTAGGTGGCTTGAGGTTGGGGTTCTTGCCTGGACTCTTTGGATCGTTCGCAATAAGCTTGTGATCCAGCATTCCCCCCTCCGCCGCGCTACTGACGCTCTCTACAAACTCTCGGGTTTCTTGCAGCTTTGGCGGCCGCTTAGCCATCCCCCGGACCGTGACGCCATCTCAGCCTTCATCGCCGACCTCCGCTCGATGGCCGTCCGCCTGTCGCCGCCGCCTCCGCCAGATCCAGACTAGTCTCCTTGCGTCTGGAGTGCTTTGTTTTATTTCTTTTTTTTGGTCTTGTTGAGCTGTGCCCTCAGCAGAACATGTTCTCTGTGTTGTGAGACTCGGGTGGTGTGTGTGAACTTGCTTCGGTTGTATGCTTTGTGGCGGTTTGCTTTATTTATAAAGCGGGGCGAAAGCCTTTTTCGGTAATTGAGATGCATCTCCGCCAGATCGAGAGGCGACTGACCACACTAGATCTAGGTACTGTTGGCTTGAAATTTTTTCTTGAATCTTCCTTCCTATTTTGCATGGCATGTGTTAATTAACGATATGTCATGCTTGCTTTGAATTCTTGGTTCATGGAATGAATTTGTAGTGTTGCAAGCTTTAGATTGCATAACCTACAGAGGTACGTAGGTATTTTTACCCTATGTAATTGTCCACTTTACTTTCATTTGCGGTTGCACACCATCGGCTTGGTGGAATTTTCAAAAGTTTTTTTGCTAGAGGTGTCGGTCAATGTGATAAAAAAAATTAGCTGCCTTAAGCTTGTCATATCGATTATTGAAAGGTGCCATTTCTTTAGTCATGAAAGGTACATGTGTGTATTGTAGAAAATTTCAATGTGCTCTTTACTTGCTATGGAGATTTGGCAAGTGGAAATCGCTCTTTCCTCAGTTGAAACATTTACTTAAGTAGTTTCACTTCCATACTTAATTTTCGTTGGAAGAAGAATGAACTCAGTACTGAATAATGTGGTAATTGCATCTATTGTTAAACTATTTTCATAATATGATCATGCTTTGGATGGCTTTGACTTTTGACTAATTATGTCACCATTTCCACATTTGATTTGTATGTGCAATTTAGAGTTATCCAACACCCAGATTGTGCAAAAAGAGATGATGAATCATACTGTCAATGGCACCATGAATATACATACGCAAGGCTTCCCCTGCCATGAGTGTGTATATTATATGTCTTCTCATTTATTCAAAAGAGTAAACTTTATGTTTTCTTAGAGTGTACATTGTGTTCGTCCTAGAGTGGTTCAACAAAGAAGTTCAGAAGATGGACATGTTTTTCAGTTACTGTCTATTGTAATTCCATTAATTGGAGGTACTGACACTATAAACAACAGATTCTGGCATATTGATTCAAATTCTGGATCAATATCAGGTGCCAGTGATGTCGCTGATGCGCTACTTCTATTATGCAACAAAGCAGGATCATCTTAAAGATACATTTCTCATAACTACATTTCTAAGTCATTCATGGATCGTTTTCTCTATCTTATGCCTCAACCGGTCCAACATCCTTATCTCTGTGTTGGACAACGCTAGCCTCTATAGTACCGTATATGGTTTGAGATTTGTCTTGGATCATTCCTCCCAGGTGATAAAAAACATGTTCATAATGTAGCCTGAGCCGCAGTTCTAGATTTTCTACCTTGTACCAGTACAACAAAAGATACTTTGTACTGAGATTTTTGTGCTACAACAGGATTATGGGTCACTGCTCTATTTAACCTTTGTCAGTTCCATTTATATATGCCACTGGCTTAGCTATTAGCGTTGTTGATTGCAACCTTGTGGGCCTCTATATTTCATTTCTGTTTGCAATGTTGCCATTCTCCTGCTTATTGTTTCATTTTTCTTTGTGTAGGTATCAATACACTTCAATATCTAAAATAAATCCGACAGTAAGTTGAGAGTTTTTTGGTTGTGAATGATTTTTAGCGAGAGTTCTAATTTCTGATTGCATGCCGCCTTCATTTGATGTATTTGAGAACTATAGAGGTTCACTCATAAATCTATTTACAATTTTATTCCCCTGTTTTTTTGCTCATTGCATTGCTATTTTTCAAAATTTGTAATTTGGTGGTGTTTTATTTCTTCTGCACAGGTTGCTATTTAGACTGTCACTTACTTAGCAGTTTCTGCATCTTTGCTGCTTCTATCTGACTAGCGTTGTAAGGTGGCATGTATGTTGGCCATCAGAACTTTCTTTTCAAGTTAGGACTTCTATTGGAGCATATATTTTACTGGTATATTCTTTTACTTTTATGAGGGCATATTTTTCCTGGGCCCTGATGGTTTCTTTAAATATATTTCAGATATGACTGGTCAATGTCATTGGATACACCTTTCAGGACCGGGATATACTTGATTTGGGAGATGTATGTAGAACTAAAATATATCTAGATACATCCCCTTTTATTTATTTTGATGACAAGTATTTTCGAACGAAGGAAGTATGTGTCTATTAAATTGTTTCTAAATCATTCTTCATGAATGCTCGTCTCGCTATCGCTTTTTGCGCCGTGGGCGCAACGGGACATCTAGTAGTATATAACAGCCGCCGCCAGCCTCCTCGGCTCCCACTCTGCTCGCCACTCAGAGAGTCCCACCAAATCCCCAAACCTCACCGGCTCATCCGCCGCCGTCGACCATGGCCGGGCGGGCGCCGTTCACCAACCTCGACCCCGTGACGGCGGCCGACTTGCAGCGCAAGGGCTTCGACCCGCTCGAGCTGGACCGAGCCACGGAGCAGCTGCTCACGTACGTCTACACCAGCCTCATCCCCGACTTCCCCTTCCTCGCCACCGGCCGGCTCGCCGCCCGCCCCGCCTCCGACGGCGTCGACGGCATCAGCCGCCTCCCGCGCGCGCTCCTGCGCAACATCGTCTCCCGCCTCCCCGTCACGGACGCCGCGCGCACGGCCGTGCTCTCCTCCCGCTGGCGCACGGTCTGGCTCTCCGCGCCGCCCGTCCTGGTCGACGCCTACCTCCGGGAGGACGACTACGCCTGGCCCCCCACGCCGGCCAACTCGCCCGCCATCACCGCCGCCGTCTCCCGCATCCTCGAGGCGCACCCGGGGCCCTTCCGCCACGTCCACCTCGTCTGCAGCCACATGAACGCGTACCGGGCCCGGCTCGCGCACTGGCTCCAGCTCCTCGCCGCCAAGGGCGTCCAGGACCTCGTCCTCGTCAACCGCCCCTGGCCGTGCGACGTGCCCCTCCCCGACGCGCTCTTCGCCATCAACACCCTCGTCCGCCTCCACATCGGCCTCTGGAAGTTGCCGGACACGGCCCGCCTGGGAAGTTACCGGACGTTTCCCCACCTCCGCGAGCTTGGCATCTGCAGCGTCGTAATGGAGGAGGGGGACGTCGACGCCATCGTCGCCAGGAGTCCCGTCCTGGAGGCCTGAGCATCCAGGGAAGCAGCAAGGGGCTGCGTCTCCGCCTTGTCAGCCAGAGCCTACGGTGTGTGCAGATCTGCGGTTCTGTTGTGGAAGACATTGCCGTGGTGAAGGTTCCATGCCTCGAGCGGCTCATCCTGCATGGGTGCCGGGATCTGGCTGGTGGCATGTGTTCCAGGATCAGGATTCTTGATGCTCCCAATCTGCGCGTGGTCGGATTCTTGGAGCCAGCAAATCATGTCCTTAAGATCGGAGACACCATCATAAGGGTAAATATCTTCGTCTCCTGTCTATCCAATTGTGCACTTAGCAAATTGCATGTCCCACTCCCACTGGTGGAGGTCCATGAGTTCAAATGTGTCATCTTTGGTCCTAAATTGGTTGAATTCAGGCTGGGATGAAGGAGAGCACAGCCACAATTCTCACAAGCGTGAAGATCCTCAGCTTAAATGTGCGTTTCGGAATCCGGAGCGAGGCAGAGATGGTGCCCAGGTTCCTCAAATGCTTTCCCAATGTGAAGACACTGCATATCATGGTATTTGCTTTTGCCACCGATTCATGCTGTACTAGTTGCTTACATTCGTAGCAACACCTTTCATGTAGACCCTGTGTTCTGAACTTCTGATTGACTGCATAGATCTTTCAAGTCATTTATTATCAGAGCTCTTTATGGTGGATGCCGATAGTTATGCAAGCTAGTTTAAGTAATGTCGAGGAGATGATAACCTCAGCTGAATGATGATTAGGACTACCTTCTCAATTATGTTATGTAATGCATTGACCAGTTATTGCTTAAATGCAAAGAACCTACTCTCAGCTATCATGTCTTCTCTACACATAGACCAGAGTACACAACTAAATTCTGGATGCTGCGTGCTCATCTGTTTGTGTTGTGACATTTGGTAATAAAATTTTATGATGGCATGGAGGCACGTTGTTTATAACGTCAGTAATTTCATTTTTATTGCTCTGCCTATGCCCAGATTTTTTTTCTTGAACACGCGTCTAATGTGTGTCTGTATTTGCATTTGAGCTGCAGCAAGCTAATAGAATTCCTGCTATAGCTATTGTGAGAGGCATGCTTTACTTATTTCATGCTGATGAAATATACAAATTAATAATATTGCACATTGCAGTCTACAGTATCTTAGACGTCTGTGTGATATATCATATTACCATATCTATGCTACTATACTAGTTGCATCATTTCAGGAAAGTATCTCTGATAAGTAATGTTCCAAGAACTTGTCATGACTCCCATCTAGCAATTCGTCTCAAGGAACATATCTGGCAAAATGTGCACTTAAGATCCTCCATTATAGACTGAGCTCTGCAGCCACATTTCTTGTTTTTTATGTGTGGATGATAATCATGGGAGGCCGAATAACACACGCTCCCACTAATCAGATCCATCCTTTAGTTATGCATGAGGATAATGTAATGTTTAATGTTGAGCACTGCCTGGAATTTATGAAATTTATATGCTGACAAGTGACAAGGGCACCCTTTGTTAAGAAAAATGTACTTCGAAATACTGTTAAATTTATATTTCTTTCCAAACACCTAGCAACTATGGACCAACGTATCTGATCTAATTCATGGTGCTTACATTCTTACTTATTTCCACTAGATGTTACATGGTGTTTTTGCTGCATCTTGCAGCAGATTTTGTTATGTGGAGATTTTTTGTTCTGACTGGTTTGCATAAATTTGTCAAATCAATTATCACCAAAGGTCTTTATGATCTTTCAATGTTCTTCTGCTGTGAAAAGTGAATCTTGTATGTAGTTATGCAAGAGATTTAAGTAACTAGGACAAGAATAAGGTGACTGTAACATCTCTAAATCAGTTATATGACTTTGCATACTTGAACAATTGTAAACGTGACTTGAGCAGTCGCAGCATAAGTGCCAAGCCTTGCCATTTATTCTCAACACACGTGGACTATATTGCACAACAAGAATTCTTGGGGTCGCATGTTGATCTGTTTATTTTAATGGTATTTGGTTAGAAAATTTCTTGTTCCACATTTTATCATTCTGTATATTATACCATTTCTTCCACATATCAGATCCAGCATTTAGGTATGCCTAGGTATTGCACAGTATGGGCTTCACGATATATGTTGAGGCTTTCTTCACTCTCCAAATGTGCGCACCTTCCTCAGATGCTTTCCAACTGTTGACCGATTTAATGTATTGTTTGCAGTCTGGAAAATGCAATCAGTCCACTGGTACGCTTAACCTCAAGTTCAAGGAGGTTCCCATCGAAAGTGCCATGTCGGGCATCTCAGAGATGTATTTCCGTGAGTTCCGAGAGGATGAAGGCGAGGTTGCCTTCCTCAAGTCGTTTTTCAAGACTGCGGATGTGCTGGAGATGGCGGTGATTATGATGGCAAATCCAAGCTTCACGCTGTTTTCACCAGATGACGCACTTTCCAAGGTGAAGAGTGCTTCTGAGCTCAGTAGATCCTCCGGCAAAGTGGTGGTGGCTGTGAGTGGAGGTCCTGAAGGAGGAAGACCGTGGAGTTTCCAGAAAGGTACTGATTTTTCATGCGAGGACCCTTTTTCAGTAGTTGTGGAGAACCTTGGCAAAGCTTAGTGCCTGTGGAGCGGTGGAAGGTGTTTTTATTTTGGCTGTGAACTATGAAGCACGCATTGTATCCGAGACTTCGGTGGTCCTTTTTACATTGCAAACTTTGTGTTAAACTTGTGGCCTGATTTCTGGTTTTCTCCTTCAAATGCTTGTTGATTGATCTGACAAATTGATTATCATGAGAGCACTACATGGTCTTTGACATGCGATGTACTGATCATATGCTATATCTTTGAACTGCATGAACATATTATCTTGACCAACTATGACTTGAAAGCACCAAACCTTTGCCTACGTCTGAAAGAGTCAGTCACATGCAAAGGCTCTTGCAGTTCTCCAAAATATAGTTTTGTTAATTGGTTGACATTAAAAAGGAGGTGCTGAACAGACCACCTCTTTTGCCTGCAAAATGTACACTGCTAACTTTCCTGCCAATTTTGCAATGTGTTTTATGTTTCCCTTAAGAAAATTAAATGAAAAGTTATATAACTTATAAAAGGAAATACAAGCTTAGTTTCGTTGCATCAGAACATATCCAGAGCATGTTGGCACTTCCGGTTGATGGGGCGTATGCGGAAGATGATGGATCGGCGGCTGTTGGAATGATTTTGAGAAGATAGGATGGCTCGGTGGGTTTTGCTGCATATGTTGGAACGCTGCCTTCGATGGGGCATATCCAGAGCATGTTGGCACTTCCGGTTGATGGGCATATCGGTTTTGCTGCATATCGGTACATATTTATTGCAACGAAGGCAGCATTCCAACAGCCGCCGATCTTGAAGCATAGATACATGCAGTCATGATGGGTATGGCACTGGTTGTGCGACATTCTGAAGGCCCGATTCTCGTGCAGTCAGACTCGGCGGTGGCTCTCTCTATCCTTTCTAGTAATAGCTTGGATCACTCCGCTTATGGACAGATAGTTTCGGAGATTAAGTAATCACTCGATTGGTATAGTTTTTATTCCTCGGAAAATTCATAGAGATCAAAATAGGGTTGCAGAATGCCTAGCTAGGTATAGGCAAACTAAATGCACCATGGCCATGTGGTTGCATCAAGGTCCTCCATGTATGTAAGACAATAGGCTTTGGGGGAACCGGCACAACCCTCTAGGGGTGGCCCATCACATATATATATATAATGAGGTGGTATACAACGTTACAATCTACACATGTAAATACAGTCTAACACCCTCCCTCAATCTTAGCCACTTTCTAATGAATCTAGAAGGGTAAGATTGCGCCTGCAAGTCTCAAACTGTGGCAAAGGCAATGGCTTGGTGAAGATGTCAGCAAGTTGATCCTTGGAAGAAATAAACTTGATCTGTAGTTGCTTCTGAGAGACACGTTCACGCACAAAGTGATAGTCAACTTCAATGTGTTTCGTTCGGGCATGGAATACCGGATTTGCAGAAAGGTATGTAGCACCGATGTTATCACACCAAAGAACAGGAGGCTGTGATTGGGGTATACTTAACTCCTGAAGCAAGGACTGTACCCAGATGATCTCTGATGTGGCATTGGCCACAGCCTTATACTCAGCCTCAGTACTGCTACGCGAGACAGTAGCCTGTTTCCGAGCACTCCAGGCAATCAGGTTAGAGCCAAAGAAGACAGCATAACCCCCCGTGGATTGCCTGTCATCCGGATTGCCAGCCCAGTCTGCATCAGAATATGCTGAAAGACAACCAGAGTCAGACGGCCGAATATGCAAACCATGAGCCACCGTGAAACGAATATAGCGCAAAATCCGCTTAACAGCAGACCAATGAGTGTCACGGGGTGACTGCAGATACTGGCAGACTCGGTTAACAGCATAGGAAATGTCTGGTCGCGTGATCGTCAAGTACTGGAGCCCACCAACAATACTCCTGTACTCTGTCGCATCAGAAGAAGAAAGAAGCACACCATCAACAGCATTGAGCTTATCAGTGGTAGACATGGGTGTAGTCGTCGGTTTGCACTTAAGCATCCCAGCTCGCTACAACAAATCCAGAGAGTACTTCTTCTGTGTCATAACAAGGCCAGCATCACGAGAAGTAACCTCCACACCAAGAAAGTAATGAAGCTTCCCAAGGTCCTTGACCGCAAAATCAGCACCAAGTGAGCGAACAAGCGCAGTAGCAGCCGACTGAGAGGAGCTGACCAAAATGATATCATCTACATAGACCAACAAGTACATAGTAACCTCAGGCCTTTGAAGAAGAAACAATGAGGAGTCAGCAGTTGATGATGCAAAACCATGAGCACGAAGAGCCAGTGCAAGACGAGCATGCCAAGCACGAGGAGCCTGCTTCAGACCATAAATTGCCTTGGACAGATGACAGAGATAATCAGGGCGATCCGGATCAGAGAAACCCGGAGGCTGGCGCATGTAAACCTCCTCCGCCAAGACACCGTGAAGAAAAGCATTTTGAACATCAAGCTGACGAAGAAACCAACCTCGAGTAACAGCCAGAGAGAGAAGAAGTCTGATGGTAGTAGGCTTGACCACTGGACTAAAGGTGTCTTCATAGT